TATAGAAATAAGAGTTCATTAAGAGGCACATTTGCAAGCCCCTTTTTGCATTGGCGGCAACTTCATAGGTAAAGTGATAATGTACTTCAGTTTGATCCCCAACCCACAGAGAATACGCAGGAGCTGCATGGAGGTGTGAAGTTTTAACACTTTTTAAATTACTTTAAATCACTTTTACAATTAAAATTGTATAACCTCAATGAGGTACGCATAAAGGGTTGACCATACAACCTGTCATATCATGTGGCAGCTCCTATGTCATGCTCTGCTGAATTCAGTCACCAGGGTTCATTGTGGCCTCTCTGTACAAAAGCTTGTGATTACATCAAGTGGGCCCCCTTCAACTAGAGTCTGTTAGTATCTCCTTAAAATGCTTAGTGTATACGTAAAGCAGCCATCTCAATCTGGAAAGTTCAGGTGAGCTGATACAGAAGTTGTTAATTTTGTTCAAATTACTCACATTTTGTATCAATTTCCAAAGATATGTGGAAATACCTTTGTCTCTGTGTTTTGCAAAAAGACAGAGACAAAGTAGACCTGCAGTTTATCCACAGAAGGGCGGTGCTGTCTGTGAGTACATGTCTGGTCAGCAGAATTAAAGAGACAGCAGTAAATAATCAGCAGAGGGGAGCTGCAACCAATACAATTACTGTCCAGGATGTCAGCTCCCGCTGAGGGTGAAATTCAAATCAGTTTCATTTGCATCCTTGCTTATCTTTAAATATGAGAGAGTCGGACAATTACAATTCAATACAGTTGAAGGATCCTGAAAACATTTTTTTACATAGAGGTAATAAAAGTCAATGAAAAAGCATTCTGGAAAATGGGATTATTCAGCATTGTGGTCCTGTGCGTATTGCTATGCTGCCTCCTATCATTCTTTACAAGCCATGTTCTTACAGATGAGACTGAACGGATCACTTCAGAGTCTGCAAGTCCCACAATGAAAAAATAACTGAATGGTACAACTGGTTGTTGTTGGTTATAATAATTAATATGCATATCTAAAACCGCTACCAATGAGTATTGCAAAACACAGGTTTTGAGATATTTTACCGCATGCAGTCAACCTATGGAACTTGCAAGTTATCTGTTTGTTAAGGTTAGTCAAAAAGGCCATCAAAAGCAAGAACTTTTGTTTTTTCCAATTGTATGTTAGAGCCCTGCCATCTTTCCACTATCCCTATCTGGTTTATGCAAGAACGTTCAAAGGTTAATTTAGAAAACAATCAAAATATATATCCTCACATAGGCAAAATACCTTCTAGTCATCACTTGCCAATGTTGCCAACTTAGGGTGCTTTCACACGATAGTCTGGTAGACTCAGTTTGATTGGGAACTAAACTTGCAACATTTGTTAAGATTTTTAGCTGGTATGGTTCACTTTCACACAGCACCGTCAAGTAATCCAAACCTTCCGAAAAACATGTTCACCTCCTCGTCTGTGGTGGCGCTGCACCAAGAACTACTGAAGGAAACGACACAAAACCCCACGAAGAGGTTCAAACGACCCTGGGCAAACTAAGTTCGATACCTATGAATTTTAGGTTCAGACTAAGACTGCAAATGGATTCTGCTGTTGATATCCACCTCGGGGTGTCGATGAGGAGTAGACAGGATGCTTATAGATCGTTTTTGTTCTTTGATTATGGGCAGATGACACAGCAGCCTTCACGTTACGACTGAATATGTAAGAGTGTATGTATGGGTGTGGTCTATAAAAGAACGAAATAAACAAAATCAGAAATGCATGCTGTCTGCATTGATAAAACTACTTGGCATATTTACCTTTACATCCTCACAGTATGATTAACTTATTATAACCAAAGCTTAAACACACATAACTTCGATGCTTAACAGAGTTTACAATGCAAACACTGCACCTGATGCGGTTAGCTTTAGCATGTAGCGCCCACCAACAAACAGCCTCAAATATTACATAACAAATAACTAATAATATCAAACACAAATTAAACATTGCGTATCTACAGCGGCAAAACACATGGCAATTGTCTATGCAGCTATTATTAGGTTAAACTTACTTTTGTCAGCTACGCACACAACTTGAGCTGCTTCTGCTGCTTAGCATGTCCCGGTTCGTAACAGACTAGTAAAAGTGTTGCGCAGTTCTAAATTAAAGAATGCACTTACAAACACTCACCACTAGATGTCTCTTGACACCTTAATACAAACTAAATGTTTCCCCAAAGTCTTCTTCTATTTTTATGGCTGCTGGAAAACATTTAAGGTCCAACACCACCTTCTAGATTGGACTACATGCTTTATTTACTTCCCAAAGTACCTTCAGTGCTTTTCCAACAAACTTCCTTCTTCACAAAGTACAAACAATAATGGAGTAGTGTAAATTTTTAGTGGTTGTAGGATTTCTCTTTTGTCTCTGGTCAAATACCACAAGCCATGTCTCCCTCCAGTGCTAGAATTACACATTTATTTTGGCTCTGTTGGCCCAGAATGCATTGCGCTAGTGTGCTTCCTGCTTTTGGAGCGATTTCTAGTTCGCTTGCATATGCTTTCGAACCGTGCCAGAGTTCACTTCAACTGAACCGAGACCTAGGTTGTTAGGCGAAACACAGTTTGCTTTTTTGGTTTGGTTTTCAAGACTGTAGGTTCAACTGTTTTTTTCCCCAAAACCCCAGCTTAAATATTCAAGATGCATTTGCAAAACTATGGAGTAGCTAGCTTTATAATGCTATTTGACTATATAGAAATGTATTTTGCTGCACCTTGACTTTGTTGACTAAAAATGTTATTCAAACCCCTAACAAAAATAATGTTTTGAGCTTAAAGTGGAACTGCTCCCACATCAAAGACAATAAATACAGCAAAGATAAGAGCTGCAAATGCAGCAATGTGGTTGCCCTGTTTTTAACATCAGCAAGTAGGAGAGGAATTGATAATTCAAGCACAGCATGTGAGGGGAAGAATGTCACGGAACCAAACATGCCAGCATATGGCTGATCTGGGACCAATCCAAACCTGACTTTGTTTTCTGGCCTCATTTCATGTCAGCAACACTACAGAGCTATTCCTTTGATCACAAACACAGAAGAAAACACAGAATCAAGTTTTCAGCGTGATTCATATCTGTTGAATCTTTATGATTATCCCACAGATTTCCTTTTATGTCTTATAATAAATCCATTTTGTCTATGGATTGCTTTTTATTTCTATGCTTAAGTTATTGATTTTCAAATGGTTAAACTCAATGGAAGCACATTTGTATTTAGTTTGATTTAAATAATTATCTGCTAGTCAGACAATGAGTACAATCACTGTTGCAAAGAAAGTCTCTACAGCAGAGACTGGCATGTTTATATACAATATTGGGATGGGAAAAGACTGAGCCTGAGGGAGGGTGAGTTTCTGTTGTTATCTCGCTGGGGAATATTGATCAAAGGACCTTCAGCCACAAAGTAATGGTACTTAATGAGCATAGCTTTGGCCACAGGCATAACTGCAACCTCTGAATTTATATGAGAGTGCATGAAGCAACAGCATGCAGCTGATTTCAGCTTGTCTATATCTGTATATTTAATCAGCTTGAACCAGTCACATCTATTTTTTTTCAGTTCTATTTTTAAGCAGCTTATCAGTTTAATTTGTGCAATAAAATATCCATCCATGTTCAGTCACATACAGATAAATCAAAACCCTGAATAACAAACTAATACATAGTAAAATAAACATTTACACAATCAGGATTGTGTAAATACAATGAACCATATACCAACACTACATTATACTGATATGTCAATAAGAGCTGCCCTTTGTAAAATTATGGAGGTGGACAGTTGATGCCTTTTAAGACACTTTTAAGACAGCTTTGAAAGCTGTCTTAAAAATGTCAGACAAAACAGTTTATTAAAAAATATATATATATATATATATATATATATATATATATATATATATATATATATATATATATAGATATAGATATAGATATAGATATATAAACAAATGGGCTCAAACGAAAGCAGTTCCACTCGAAATGCTGTTGTTTTAAAGACTGCAGAGATTTAGAGGTTTGATCAGATTAAGAAAAAGTAGGTTATGCGACATATGCTCTGTGAAGGTGCAGCAACACCGCTCCGTCTGAGTCCTGTGGGACCAGACACGCCCAAAATCAAAAGATGCTTCCCTAAAAGCCGAAGCTCCAAAGAAAGGGACCAGCGCTGCTCCTCCTGCTGCTGCAGCGGCGGATCCGAATAGCCAACATCAGCACCCATCAGTTCTGCAGGGTCTCCCCCGATTTGCCCCTAGCGCACATAAGCCAGCTCGGTGAATACACAAGCACCTCATTTACCCCTAGTCAGACTCTTTCTGCCGGACTTCTTACCTGAAGCTAACCGGAGAGTTCACCTGGATGCTGCGGCCGGACGGTGGTGTGGCTTTCCGCTTCTCTCTGTCCGCCATGCCGCCGCGCGTTCATGTCTCCTCCGACTCCGCTGACAGTGTGAAGCCGCCCGGCCCGACGGACACCTGAGAGGTGCGGCGGCGAAGCTGCTGGGGTAATGCCTTAGAAGACTCTGGAAAAAATGGCCACTTGTCATAGCTCTCTCGGCTGTATTTATTTATTTAATAACGCTTGAAAAATAAAACAAAATCATAAGTTTTATTTTTATTTTAATAGAGGCAACCAAACTCATCAGAGATACAGCACATAAAGATATTGGACATGTATTAGCTTGATAAATGAATTGCAACCTGCAAAACATTTAAAACGAGCATTATTTGTTAAGCCAGGCAGCCTGCAGGTCATGTTAAGTACTAATTTGACCAAGAACTCTAAATTTCTTAATTCACTACGTGCCTCTCAAAAAAAAGAATCTAACCTAAATGTTCATTTATTTCATTTATTGAGTCAAAAGTAGAGCGTCATTACACCCAAAGTGGTGTATTCTGTACACAAAGTGTTTGTTTTGATTACTTTTTTAATGATTTGAGACCTAATATTTAGTTTTTCACAATTTTAGACAAGATCACTAAAAAAGACTAAACAGTCAACCTACTGACAGGAATACCCATGAAGTATCCAATCTAAAAAGTTGTGAATGGGTTGGGAATCTTTTTGCACTAATTATGCCACATATCATTTGATCAGCCTGTGTTGTGCTGCTTAGGTGTTAAGGAAACCTAATATACGTTAATAGTAGCCTTTACTGTGTTTTCACTGTTGTTTCTGATATGTTTCGGTTTCACTTGGCACTATTTTTGGTCCGCTGGTGTTTAAATGTGCCTTAATAAATTAACGTTGACAATACCACATGGATTTTCTTTTGGGTTTCGGTGCTATCAGTTTACAAGTCAACCAAGCACAATGATACTATGGTCACTACATCAGACACCTTTGGCTGTAGAAGGCTGCCAAGCTCTGCTGGAAAATGAAACCAGCAACTACATAAAGTTTGTGTTGTAGTAGTGAAATTGTGACAAAGAGAAGGTTTATAATGATAAAATGTAAAATAATCTGCTCCCGCTTCTT